CCGTCCTCTCAGTAAACCTCCAAGAATTACCCCCACCGGTGAATCCTGGATCTGCCGCTGGTCTAGAGGTTACTGGCTTATTCTTTTTCAAATTCTCTATAGGCGGTGTTCAACCTGTGACTTTCTAGTCATTAAAAAATCAATAATTTTCAACATAAATAGCTTAAAATAATTTAATTTAGATTACTTTAAATTTTTACTTTTCAAAATTATAAATTCAATTGCTTAGTAACTAAAAACAACTGTTGTTCCCAAGAAATACGCTTTGCGCTCCAAGAGCGCGACTCAGTATAAACTTAACCTCCATGACCCAGTATGAATAGGGTTAAAAAATAAAATTTGTAAACAAGAATTAATATAACCCCTTAAAATTGAGGGGGTTCAAAATTTATATGATGATAATTTTTGAACGCTAAGAAATTAAATGTGTTATTAAGTTTATATACTTGCTTAGATTAGAACTCGTTTTGAGAAGAGTAATACGACAAAATTAACTGAGCGTAACAATAATTAAGAAATTTGGACTCAACAAAAGGCCCTACAAATTTGTTTAATGTCATTAACTCCTCCCATTTTAGTTTATACTTATTTTGACTGCCACTCCCACAAACACTAATTAAGTGTATTTAGGATTACTTTAAACTTTTTTTTTTGATTCTGAATCAATTTAATTTTTACTTGTGACTTTTTATTTTTACTTTTGTTTTGAAGTTCTTTACTTTTAGTGCTTTTATCTAATTTTTTTGTTTTTTTCCCTTGTAAAAAAACTGTTGCAGCAAAAATTAAGTTTTATTTTATCACAGTAAAATTTATGCTGCTATTAGTAGAATTAAGTTTTAATGAATCCCTTAATTTTTTAAATATACCTTATATGGGGAGACTTCGGACATTTCGGACATTTTCTAAAGTCTTCTTTGATGCTTTAATAAATTTAAAAATAACAATTCCCTATGGACAATTATTAAAGTTTTGTAAATTTCTATTTGTACAATCGTAAGGGTATATTGATAATTGCCACATGTACCCCGGAAAAAGAGGTGCTTGCAGCTGCAAAAAAGGCAAAATGGCGAAGAAGCTTACAAAAAGATAACCAAGAAGAAGATTTTGAGGCGAAAACCTCTAAAAAGATAATCCTTTGAGAATCGTTGTCAGATGAAACGATAAATCTATAAATTTTAATGATTGAGAGTACATATAACCTTAAAAACGATGGATTCAATGGCAGCAATTCTGATACATTTGATGTGCCGGATAGAAGATTTATAATTGTATCGGTATAAAGATGTGAAAAATAATCAAGCTGTAACTATACAGCAAAAGTTGTTAAAAAAGTGGTTATGAAGTGGAGATTTACAAAAGGAAAATTACTTCCAATATATTTATAATAACTAATGAATATTTTAACGATTAACGAACGATTAAAATCGTTAAAACCGTTAATCGTTGAAAATAAAAACTATTATTGTTAATATTTCCTATTTATTTATTTGATGTCCATAATCTTCCCTACACATGTCCGAAGTCAACCCGCATGCGGGGTTCGGGGACTTCGGACACTTGACAAGCATTTTTAAAACAGCTTTTAAACATTGAAAATTAAGAAATATAAAGAAGGTTAAAATGTTAAAAGATTCCTTAATTATTGTAGTTTGACAAAAAAAAATTTTTTTAAAAAATGCAATAGTTACTATATAAGCTAAATTAGAGTATAAACTATCCGAAGTCTCCCCGGTCTTCCTTATATGTAATTTTAAAAATATATTTATCATCACGAACATGGATATTCAATAACTATAATAAAGCAAGTTTTAGATAGTACTTTACATCTCATTAAATTAATTATGATTTTATAGTATGCTTACAGTAAATATAATACAATTATTTTAATACCTACTAGTTTCAAAAAATAATAAGTAAATATAACAAATCTTGTTTTCCATATCAAGCACAAACAAATGTTTTATAAATAAGCATTTTAAAAATAGTACTTTTCTTTTTACAAAATTGCACAAATCTACAAAAAGTTACAACATTAACACTTTTTATAATAAAAATCGAAAATGAATTACTCTTGTGTGTGAGAGTGCTCGTGTTTTGCTTGTTAATCAATAGACCATTTCATAAATATCTCCGACGGATAACGGAGATTTTTTAAATTAAGGCAGTGCTTGTGACGATCAAAACTAACTCAGCGTTAGGCTATTACTTTGTAAGATTGCGAATGAAATGATGTAGTATTGTCTTCATTTACTTTTTAAATCGTTAATCTATATGTTGTTGTTTCTAGAATAGTATATTAAATAAAATAGTTATTCTCGTTTAAAATGAAATTTTGACGTACTTGAGGAGATTATCTTGATGTTGATTACGATGCATTTAAATACTTTTTTATTAGAAACCTCAAAATATTATTAAAAAAATTCGAGTTAAAATTTAAAAAAAATTGATTTTGAAGATATAAATTGTTTAAATGACATCATCCTTAACAGTTATTTCCAAATTACATTAACTATATGATGATTTATTTTAGTATTATTAACATTTTTTTTAATGTAATGGTAGGAAAATATATATTCTTTGTTGTTAAATTACATCAAAAAATACTTTTTTACGGTTTTATGCTTTTTTATTTTTATGTTTTAGTTAAAAAAAGCTGAAACTTGTTTGAACCCTAATTCCACCTACAAAATCAGAGCTATATAAAAAACAATAATAAATTCCGTCTCAGTTATTATTATCAGTTACTGATGCTTTTTCGGTTGATTTATAATACTTGTTATATCTTATGTTAACGTTAATATCTTATGTTAACGTAAATACTTTCATATTTTCTTTTGTTGACGTAAATACATTCATCTTTTCTAAACTGGTTAAAATTTGTTTGTTAAACGTAAGTTTTTTCATCTTTTTTAAATGCATTTAAACCTATTAGTATTCTTATAATTTATGTTGTAATTGTTCAAATTATAGTTATCGTTTTTATTATTAATGTCGAAAAAAAAAAAAAAAAAACTTTATGCTGTTGTTTTTGATTTAACACAACATTTAATGTTTGATTTAACAACTGCCATTGTAAAAAAACGTGGGTCTATTTACATTTTAACAAGCACAGCCTCGTTTCAAGGAGTGTTTTATGAAAAACTCTATTGGAACTAATATTATTTAATTAATAATAACACAAAATTGATAAATTGATAAATAACAAACTTCGATAAGTTAAGAAACAGTCAAAAGTTAACAATAAATATAAATAATGAAATTGTATTGGGGTATATATATGCATGAAAAAAAAATCTTTTTTACGGATTATTCGGCTAATAGTTGTCCAGTTCACTATTTTATTCGGCTAATAGTTGTCCAAGTTCACTATTTTTTAGCGAGGAGTTATAAAACTTCAATCGATTTAAAACCTTTCTCCTACGAATAATTATGACAAACAGCGTTACCATTAGTAACAAGGTCAATATCATAAATACAAGAAACCCAATTTTTAATTCTAAATAAACAATTAATAAAATTAAACATTTTTAAAGAATATAAATATATATTTATATATATATATATAAAATAAACTCTATATATATATTTAAATATAAAGAATATAAATATATATAATATAAATATAAACATTTTGAAAGAATATAAATATATATTAAAATTATAAATATTTTTTAAAATTAATTTAAATTTATTTACAAATTAGCAACGTAAAAGATTTTTCTTTTACTTTTCTTTAAAAAAATAAACTTACGTAGCTGTGTCAAGAAAAAAATAAACTTACGTGGCTGTGTCAAGAAAAAAATAAACTTACGTAGCTGTGTCAAGAAAAAAATAAACTTACGTAGCTGTGTCAAGAAAAAACCTTTATGAGGAAAACAATCTTGTTTTGTTGTTGTTCGTCTACTTGTAAATCTAAATAGATTTTGAATCTATAAGATTCACGAAGCCATTCAAAAAATGTTAACCTTTTTAATATGAAACAAAACATAAACATTTTATTTAAAAAATTAATAACAATAAAAAAAAAAATTGTAATTTTATCGTAACATAAAGATTAAAAATCTTTAATCAAATAACGTTTTAAAAACAAATCAAAATGATATATAAATAAAATTCCAAATTTTTACAAAATTATAGTTTAATTAATGCTATTTATTTAGAAAACTTCTAGTGACTGATCTCAAACATTGATTAAATCTCAAACAATGGCCTCAAAAACTGTTCAAAACGCTGACCTCAAAAATTATTCAAAACACTGACCTCAAATATTGTTCAAAACACTGACCTCAAAAATTGTTCAAGAGGGCAAGAAATATCACAATCTTTGAGTTTGAAGGGAAAGATATTTCCAGATGTATCATTTCGAAAATGCATTTCCACTAAAAAATTTCTAATGAAAAACTATATATATATATATATATATATATATATATATATATATATATATATATATATATATATATATATATATATATATATATATATATATATATATATATATATATATATACACACACACACACACACACACACATATATCACAATGTTTTATTTATTTATAGAAGAAATACAAATTAAAAAACAACATTTAATACCCATTGTTATCTTCGTACATTTCAATCATAAAACAAGATGCAAATGTTGGTACCGTTATTTCCAAATCCAATGTAGCTGCTAATGCCAGTATTGATGTATCATGCTGAAACCATGTATTAATTTATTAATTAAACAAACATATGACAATTACATTTTGAAAATATTACCATTTTTTCTTACCCCTGAAAATGTAACCATTTAATCTAACCTTTGAAAATGAAACCATTTAATCTTACCCCTGAAAAAATTGAAAGTTTGTACAGCTCATCATAAGATCTTTTAGTTTTAAAATTTCTCATATTAGTATTTATTGAGTCCAGAAGGGCACCTAAAGAAATGCTAAAATTATTTGAAACAGGAACAAGTATGATACAGAAATTGGTTTACAATTTATTATAAGATACCTCCCAATAATCTTCCTAGCTCGTCATCAGCGTTCTTATATTGATACAAAAACACCCATGAACATATATCTTGAAGTTGCATCTCTATATCTTTGTACCATTTTGGTGGACTAAAACCTTGAGCTGCCTAATGAAATACAGCAGTGTTTAAAAGTAATTGAACACCTTTTTTGAATATTTTTTTCATTAGTTGATATTTTTTTAGTGAAATTACTTATGTCAAATAATGCGACATTTACAGAAAAGATAAAATCACTTTAGAAGTTTAATTAATCAAAACTTTGTTAAAAGAAGTAAAATGATCGACTCAAAAAGTTATAAAACAATCTATATATATCCATTGAAAACAAAATTTATCTCAACAAAATATAAATTTTAATCATTTTTTATGATTTCTGTTACATAATGATATGTTATAATCTGTTATATGTTTATAAAATGTATATATTGTTAATACTTGATTGGAAAACCTTTTGCAACAATGAAAGCATTGTATCAACAAAAATCTACTAACAAGCGCATTTAATGAACCCCAACAAATCCTATTGATTAGCTAATTTGTGACCACTAAATTTTCTCTCAATGTGCTCCCAAAGACGTTCAATCAGGTTGAAGTTTAAAAATCATGATGGCTATTCTAAGACTAACTTTCTTTTGGAAAGGAAATTATGTGACTAGTTTAGATGAGCTTTACAGATTGTTGTCATGTTGACCACCCACACAACATTTTGTCTTTTGCATGTGACGACATTGTACCCCTTTATACATCTTTTTGTCCATAATACCTTGATAGATTAGACAAACTTTATCATGGCTTAAACATGACCAATTTATTACTAAGCCAACATTATGCTTTACTGTGGAAACTTGGCAATTAACAACGTTTTGGTAACCTACTGCAGCCGTATTCACATCTCTTTGTTAAACCTTGCAATAAGCTATCAGCTGGTTGAATGTAAATCGGCAGTTTTTAACGCCAGCGATAAAATAAACTCGTATTCATGTTTCCATTTGTTTAACGACAGGAGTAAATTTATTTATCAGAAGGCTGTTAACGCCAAAATCTAACCCTGCTATACCCTACAGTTAAAACTACTATTGGAGAAATTTTTTACTATATCAGGAAAAATAAAAAATGGTATCCAATCAAAACAACTGTAAACAAATAAGTTTACTTTTATAACAAATAAGCTATTTATATACAGTAATAAAGTTATAAGATTTATCCCTTAATTATGAAAAAAAATATTTATATTATTTATACTCTTTTGCATTTGAATATATACATCAATACATACATACATACATACATATATATATATATATATATATATATATATATATATATATATATATATATATATATATATAAATAAATAAATAAAATCATATAATAAGTATATATAAAAATATATATTTAATCAATGGTATTGATTAAAATTATATCACATTTTAAAGCATAACTTGAGCCAATTTTAGTTATGGTGTAAAATCTTTAGTTATGGTGTAATATCATCATCAGAAAGAGGGTGGAGTATATATATATATATATATATATATATATATATATATATATATATATATATATATATATATATATATATATATATATATATATATATATATATATATATATATAAAAGAAAGCCGCATGCTGTAGCAGAAGTGAGATCCTGAAAAGGATCTCACTTCTGCTACAGCATGCGGCTCAGTGGCTGGTAAGACTTTAATAAAACTCAATTTTTTTCAGCCAATCGTTATTGCAATAATTTAGACCTTTCTATATTTATGAACGGTAATGTACTCGATGAGTCATCTACCCTTCATCTTCTAGGATTAACTCTTACTTCTGATCTTTCTTGGAAACCTTATAACAAATCTGTTGCAAAATTAGCATCATAAAAATGCTGATCTCGTTTCTATGTTTTATGGTAAGACCTTTGTATCAAATTTTTTTTGCCAACCTGATGCTGACCTCTAAAAGATTGAGGTCAGAAAATTATTGCTGAACTCATTTTTCCTTATTTTGAGAGTTGTATATATATATATAGCATTTATATTAAATATCATGTAAGAGTTATTTTTAAATGTTTTTGAAATATTGTTATTTTTTTATTTTGGTTTTTAAACAATATTATTATAATTAAAAAATTGAGTTACATTTTTTGTATGTTTAAAAATTTTAACATTTCAACCTAAGAAAAGTTCATTTTAAAAGTAAAATAATTTTTGATTAACTTTTGTCAATTTCTTAAACAGAAAGAACACAGTACAAGGTACACAGCAAAATAACTCATTTTAAAGTTAATATATAGCTTAAACACTGGAGAAAAAAAACTTCCATTTTGGTGTGATAACTGCGATTTCTTGAAATAAGCAACAATAAAATTATTTGGTTTTAATATTTTGATCGGTTTGCAAAAATCAAAGAAAATAGAGTTATGAAAAAATGTTTAATCCATAAGAGTGAAGAAGCATAAACATAAAATTTAAAAAAGTGAAACTAAGTGTTAAGTAGATACAAACCATTTGATTCTTTGGTATTATAGCGTGTATAAATTAAAGTTAGAGAATTTACCAGCAACCATTATTTTAAAAATCACTGAATGCAATTTACCAATTAAACAAAATCATTGTCTGTTAGCATTGCAACATTAAGATGCGATAAGATGATCTTTGTGATATTGTAAAAGGCCGATCCTCACAAGAGGATCTGCCTTATACAATATTAATACAAAAATATCTTAGTGAGATATTGATTTCAGCCTTCTTGATTTCAGCAATATTTTGAAATGATTCTATCATCAAAAAATATTCAATATATAGCCAACTGTTGATCATGAAGTGTTCATTAAAATTTGTTGCAGTCTTTTCATTATCAGTTGCACAATTAACTATTTAACAGCTTTTGTTAAATATTTTTTCATTAGCTGATTAATGATTTTTTTATTATACAAATGTATATTCAGAAAAAAAAGTTGAAGAAAGAAAACTTTTAAAACGGTGTTGAAATTTATTTTGCCTTATACTTTTGAGCCAATCATTTCCATAATTTAAGTAAAATCTTTTTCAAAAATTTTAACTTTTATAGTAAATATTAAAAATGATTTCTTAATACTTCACATTTAAAGACATCATCAACTATCCAAATATTTGTAAAATCAACTTTCATTCCAGTGTAATCACTTAAAACTTTAAGAAAATTCTAAAAAAAATTAAGAAAAATTTATAAAATTAATCAAATGAATTACTCATGAACATGAATCTAGTAATATAAATAACCTGATTATCATGTTCCTTTTTAATATATTCAGATTTTAATGTCAATTGATGCAATATTTCTTTAAGGCGAGGACAATTAGTCTCATCTGGTCGCAAAACCTAAATTGAAATAGTAAAAAAAAGTTAAAATATTTGGGTAGAGCTCGTATGGAATCTTGTTGCTACAAAAATGTCATATTTTCAAAAACTCTAAAATCAAAAATTGGTTAAAACTAAAAATTAATAAATATTAAATAAATTAATGATAAATCAAATAAATAAACTAAAACTTTTTTTCAAGTAAAAAGTTCAAATAAAAAAATAAAAATATTTAATCAATAGAATCAACTGATTTGTAAAATCTGGCAAAAAAATTTTGCCAAACAAAAAATATGTGGAAATAAAATGTGGAAAAAAAAAAAAAAAAACATAAAATAATTAAAAAATAATACATACATAATTGATGGGGTTTCAAAAAGATGCATTTATAAAAAACTGTGGTTTTGGTTTTAATAAAAAAAAATAATGTGGTTGACTGTGGTTTTCGGTTTTTCTTGTTAAATAATAAAGCTTATGTAAGTTTATCTTGCATTATTTATTTAAAAAGTTATTTAAGCAACACATTAATAAAACTTACAATGAATTATTGTAAAAAATTATAAAGAAAACTAAATATTTTAACAATTCATCAGATAATCGTGATCTAATTTTTGTGCAGAAATTAGTGCAGCTTGAAAAAATGCATTTGACATCTGTTGAGGTGGGCTCTATAGAGAGTATCGCATTGTAAATTTGTTCAAAATTTTCTTTTGCCCATATTTTGGTACAACAAAAACTCTTGCTTAAACCATTTGAATCGATCAGTAGATTTAAACAAGTATGTGATGATATCTTTATTGAGAAGTAGGTCTAATTCATCCTTAAGAGAATCAGGTGAACTTTTCGATGTTGTAAATGGTGCTTCAGCTAGTAGTGATTCCTTATCATTAGAAGTAATCCAAAAAGCCTATACACAAATTTTCCAGAATAATTTAAAGTATTTTTTAAGGAACAACTGAAGGATCTTTTAGGCACTTTAACAACTACATAACATTTCCGTTAATTCCGTCATTGACGCGCTTTTTAAATTTGAATGCAATTAAGATGCGATTTCTGTATTCATAGCAAACAGTTTTGCAAGCATGAACTCAAGAACAGTGTCTGCTGTTGATAAGGTTGCATCTTCTCTGCTAAGGAATTCTACTGCTAGTTTTGCTGGCTCTAAAGGGGCATATAATGAAGGTAATGACTCAAAATCCAGTTTGTTGATTACATCAAGAGCATTTAATTCAGTTAATGTCTGGAATAAACATTTCTTAGTTTAGAACAAAGGCGCAGTCATTTGAACATCAAGATGCAATTCGATTACTTTACCGAATTCCTTAGTAACTTTTTTCTGAAAAATTCGATTACGAACTGATTATTTTTACCAATACCACTACTTTTCGTGCATTCATCAAAATTTCAGGGTAGTCAACATTAATCTTATTGTTTACTGATTCAAAACTAAAATTATCATAAATTCCATATTCATTCTCTTCTAAATCACTGTTCGTTTTCTTTGGTATATTTGTGTCTTAATTCTTCTTGTATAACGCATCGCATACACCCAAATAAATTGCATGATTAAAGCAAAATTGATCAACAATGTCCGCTAATTGCATGAGCTTCTTGTTAATTGTTGCAAAATCTTGAACAGAACCTACTACATCTTATTCCATACAGACATCAAATGAATTCAAATGATCCTTAATAGTTTGTATTAAATTTTCAGCTAGAACATAAACAGAAAGGAACCATAAATCCTAATAAAGGCAGCTTTCTTAAACTTGCTTTCATGCAGGTTAACACCAATGTACCTAATGTGCCTAAAAGATGTCTATTTATCATGCATTAAGCTGAATTTATGTTCCATTTGAATTTTTTTGATAACTTTTTATCATCACTTCCTTTTTATCAGAAAAATCTTGATGGATTAAATTCATCACAGTTGTTTGACTTTTAGGAAGATGATTTCCTCTTTGTTGAATCGATAAGTGAATAATTTTGTTGTTAGTTATCGTATCAATCAAAACACCGTCTGTAACTAGATCAGCTACAATTTTTTTAAGACATCATTGATCAGTTCTACAAAGTGGAAACTGCCTTTATATGTTATTTTAACATTTGCTGGTAAACAAATTTACCATCAAGTACTGAATATAACTTTTCATAACTTTTATTATACAACTTTAACTGCATAATTCATTATTCACAAAAATAATGTAAATGCAACATTTATAATTGCAACTCAACCTAAATCATTTAATTGAGGGAATTTGTGTAGAAACCACTTCTATTGATTGATATTTTCACTTAATTTTATTATTATATGACTTTTTATTATCAATAAAAAGTCATATAACACAACCTTTATGTCTTAACCTAGTAAAACTCCAGAATACTTACAAATAGGGCTGTTTGATTTCCCTTTCTAACCAGTTTCGGAAAGTAGTTTCCTCTGAATTGGAAAGTATTTGCAAATTAAATGTATTTACATAGGAAAATGTTTATTTAATTACACTTTATTTATATAGTTTAAAGGCGAAAAAAAAATGAAAATTTCCAACCTTTCGGGAGTTGAAAATGGATTGAATTCAATCTATTTCCAATTTTTGGAAAGTAGAAAGTATTAAAAAATTATTCCTTTTCTTTATGTTTTTACATGACATTAAATTTATATTACTATTAATTGACCTTACTTTCCTACAGATTTTTAGCACTTCCCATTGAAAAGTCAAAAAAAAGTTAAATGATTTTTATTTTTTTTTTATTTTCTTTATTTGATAAGATTATTTTTTTAAACCCTTTATATAATTAACAAATAGTTAATTATATAAAATTCTTTTTGCACTCTTAATTTGATGAAAGGCTACTTCTTTCTTATCTTTGAGTAAAGTTTGCTTCACTAAAAGCAGATTCTACTGCGACAGAAGATGCTGGTATAATGCAATACTTTTGAACTGCACTAGCTAACATACAGAAACCTGGAGTTTTTTTTCCAAATTTGACTAAAACTTAAAGGACTTTTTTTTTCTTTAAATTCACCTCTCCAAGGCCAAGAAGGCCACTATATATGAAGAGGCTACTTAATTGTGGTTATAACCCTCTCTCAACTCTATAACACCGAAACACCAACCTAGACAAACAAGGCGGCTGCGCTGTGAAACAAGTTGAGTGCTGTACTACTAGGGACGCAGTGGGGATTGAACTTGGAACCTCTTGCTTATAAAGTGAACGCACAACAGCTACACCTCTACCACTAGGACTTAGGAAAGCTTCCTTTCTATAAAAGTTTATTTCTGCCAGTTAATGTTTATCTTGTGAAATCACTACATTTTTGGTGTGTAAAATAATAATCTCAGACCAAGGATAATTTAATAAGGTTTTCTTAAATGCATTAAAAAGAAATTTTATTATACTCTATTACTCAAATAAATTATTGGAAGTGAGATCACAGTTCGTTTGACATATTTTGAATTCGATTTAGAAAGAGAAAATAGTAAAAAGAAAAAATGCTTCTATTTTCAAAACACCAACTTTTGTTTATTTTATAACTTTTTTTTTTGCTTTGGCGTTAAAATGATAACTCTTTAAAATTAAATAAATTCTATTATACAATAAAAAATTATTAAGTCATCATTTAGTACGCAGCCGCAGCGCAGTGGTAGTGCACTTGCCTAAGAAGCAAAGGATCCCTGGTTCAAACCCCACCTTTAGGCAAGTTTTGCGACATTGGTTAAGACGGAGGCGTGAACTTCCAATTAAATGCTTATCCCTGGTGCTCTGTGATAAAACCGTAAGGACTTCTTGGGGCACCTATAACAAAAAAAAAAGATCAAAGGTAATAAATATATTTATTTTTTAAAATTAATAAGACCAATTTAGCTAAACTGCCCTAGTCAAAAAGTACTATAGGATAAGAATTAGTAACAAAAAAAATTTCAGATTTCAACCCCATTAAATTAAAACTCATAATTGACAAAATAGATAAAAATTATTCAATTTTTTAAAATGATTTTCCAATGGAAAGTGATTGGAAAGTGTAAGGAAGTAAGGCTGAATTTAATTAATAGTAATATTATATTAATATCTTGTAAAAAGCTAAAAAAAGTGATTAAATTTTAAATACTTTCTACTTTCTGGAAATTGGAAAGAGATTGAAATCAATTTATTTTTGCTTCCGGAAAGTTGGAAACTCATTAAAAATGATTTTTTTTATGGCAAATATAACTGTATAAACAAAACAATTAATTTTTCATCATAAGAAAAATGGATTAATTAAAAAATTTTCACTTTATCGGAAGGAAAGTGAAATTAAATACTCCTACTTACAAACAAATTATTCTTTCATTCATCTGAACTGTTTTAGATTAAAAAGGTTTTTAAAATTCTTAATTATACTAAAAAGTTTTTTTAAATTCTTAATTATTGACTAACATTGAGTTAACAAAGTGTTGAAATTTTAAATTATTAATTAATGTTGGATGACTAATGTGTAATAATATGTTTTTTAATTTTGGGTATTATAAGCAATCCAAAAAAAATAATAATAATTTGATTACCCATATAGATGTAGGGTAATCAAATTGTGTCAACAATATTTTGAAGACCTTATTTTGTAGTTATCATCCAACAAAATGTTAAACAAAATTATAAAAATGCGCTTTAAGTATTATGTAAGTATATATTTCTGTAATTACCTCCCCTGTATATAAATTTTGAGCTGTTAAAACGGAGAGAGTTGTAGGCGTTTTTGGCTAGCTGGTGTTGCCATGTCAGAATGCAGTGACCCTGTAAAGCACTACTAAGAGGAGGACCAATAGTGATGTGGCTTGTTCGCTCGGTCGCTTCAGTAATTACGAGGTCTAGTGTATTATTGAATAGACCCTTTGCTTGGGTGAAGGTGGGATTGACTGCATGCTGGTGTAGAGGTAGGTCAAAAATTATTTTGGCAAATTTAGTGCCAAAACTAGTTTCAGCACCAGTGGTATTGGTCCAATTGTCATGCCATATGACGTGAGGAAAGTTCAAGTCACTAGTGATTATTAGACTGCTAAACTTTTTTATTTTCTACAGCCTTTTTAATTAAGAAGTTATAGTAATTTAAAAATGAGAACAATAACTCTGGAAGTTGCTTTAATTTCAGATCTAATCTGAACTCTGGAAGTTCAGCTCTAATCTAAAAAAAGTTAATTTTATTTCACATTTATAAAATTAATATTTTGATTCAAGTCGTTTAATTTTAGGTAAACTTAATAAATTAAATATAAATAAAAAATAAAGTAATATTTAAAATGAGCAATGTGGTACTATTGCAAAAAAAAAGTTAATCTGTGATTTGATTTTATACGATTACAAGTGAAATAAGACGCATACCGGGTCACTGTCAAATGGAACTGAATGAATAGGTATAGGTTGCCAATTAATATCCTTATTCCAAACCTAAACAATTAAAAAATATAATACAAAGATCAAAATATTAAAAAAAAAAAAAAACTCCTTCGAGTCGTTTAATCACCTGGAAAAAGTAACAATTATACAAGCCTTCCTGGGAAGCGCGTGCAGTCATACGCTTGTTTGTCCACGCTTAAAGTAATTACGCGGCAAAATAAAGAAACTAGAGAATAAAACAGCAATACTCGTAGAAAAAAACCAAAGGCGAAATAAAAAATCTAAATAAAATAAGCTAAAAATAATTGCATATTAAGAAAAGAAAAATGTTGTCAAACAAAAACATACCTAAATATTCAACTTTTTTTGTTTTTTTATTTTTAGGTCGTTTGTTATTTTTCACTACCAAAGTTGATTCAAGTTGAGGAAAAAAGTAGATAAGAATATAACAAAAATTAAAATATTTTTTTATATACAATTTTTTTCCAACTTTTTCTAGTCAGTAGATATATGAAGGAAATACTTTATAATTTGTGCTAGAAAAATTAAAATTTTTAAATTTTTTTTTCAAATATCTTTACTAAACATTACTATTATAAATGTGCATTATAAATAAAAGTGAGAAAACTAATTGCTATTTATTTGTAACAAAAAAATTTGTTTTAACAAGTTGATCATGTAAAAAAAATGAAACAATGCTCCAAAATCTTGTAGGCTAGTGCATTATTAATTTACTGAATTTTTTATACTGTTAACAAAATTATTAGAAGCCTATTTAAAATCTTTTTTAATTTTCAAATTTAAACGATTAAATTTTCTAGTTTATTTAATTAAACTTGATAATTCGTTATAATTTTGCATCCTTTTTTAGGATTTTTTTCTTTTCTTAAGATAAGTTTAGCTTTTTGACACAAATTATTGAAACGCTTTACAAGTTAAAAGATTCGAATTGTTATGGTCAGTTTGTCTAAAAAAATAACTTTAGACATGGACAAACAAGGCGTGCGACTGCAAGCGCTTCCCGGGAAGACTTGATTAAATCAAACAAATTATTAAAAGAAAACTTAAATAAATAAATAAATTTATTACTCTCTCCAAATATTTTAAAATAAATTAGTAAAGCAGTTTATAAGCAATGAGACTTATTTATAAGTTGCCATAGTTCATTTTTTCCATGGAAGAACATAATCAAAATTCTAATTTTTATTAGTTTAGCCTTCGAAAGTTTATTCAGTATTTTTTTTTCCTATGGAAAAAAAAGGAGAGGTCTACTTATTAATAGGGTCTTCTTATTAATAAGTATAACACTGCAACACTTATTAATAAGAGTGTGTAACTGATGAGTTTTATTTGATTTATTTTAATTAAAATAAATATTAAATATTATATTTAATATTAATTTTAATTAGAGGTTCGGAGTTTGACTCCCACCACGTCCCTGGAAGTACGGCGCTTAACTTAATTTCTCTGCGCAGTGGCCTTGCTTGTCAAGGTTTGTGTTTCGGAGTTAAAGAGTTGAGAGAGGGTTGTACCACGATTTACAACACAAACAAAAAAAAAACAAAAAAAAAAAACAAAAAAAAAATGAGTAGCCTCCTCGACTGTAGTGGCCCCCTCGGGCCTTGGGGAAGTGAATAATTAAAAAAAAAAAAAAAATTAAAATAAATCAAATAAAACTATTTTATAGGTATTTGTGATCATATTAAGCATTTAAAAGCACAAATCAATTTTTTTTTCTTAAATTATTTATAATAATTATATTTTTAATAACTTTTTACATTGTTGAAACTTTGAATTTTGATTTAAAAACCAAAACCTTATTTAGTGTGATAACCATTTGTTTAGAGGAACTTAAACTATTTAAACGATATTTTACTTTATTTATTATTAACAGATTTAAAAAAAAAAAAATTTTAAAGATATATTTAATTGTTAAAATTTTTAAAAAATTATTTTTCAAAACTTCATTTGCATTAAAAAAAGTTTTAACAGCAGATTGCAACTTAAGTTAATTCATCATTTTAATTCCATATTTACATAGCAATTAAGTAATCTAGTTAGTGACAGAAACAATTATAAATTTAAAACTATTTAATATTTTAACTAAACTAACTATTTAAGTTTACGAGCAATATTTTTTTTAATACTTAAAAAAAAAGAATAGTTTTGATTAAAAAAAATTTAAGATCATGATCGAAGTGATAGTAACTTTTTTTTTATTTATTAAAATAGTTTTACATAAGTGATTTATGTGATGTTATAGGGTGGTACTCAATAAATCTTCTTTTTCAGTAAATTTCTGGGACACCCCCTAATTATGTTCCTTACGTTCCTTCCTTGTGGTGTCATTTGGCTATAAAAAGTTTAATTGGTCTCCGATAGAAAGAAAAAAAAAAGAAAATGATGTCATGTTAGGTTTCAAATAAAGCAAAATGATAAAAAATTTTCAAAAATATTACTCATTTTATAAAAGAATATTTTCTTAGATTTTATTGCATAAAAAGTTATTTTTACATACATACACAGTACATTTTTAAAAAATGTTAACTTTTGTACAGTTTTTTTTTAATGAATAATTTTAGACATGTTTTTATAGAAAATGATAAATATTTTTTAAAATTTTTATAAAATTTTACTTTTTTTTTTTTTGTGTAGCAGGTTGAAATTTTAGAAAATCTTTTTTTTTTGAAATAAAGACCAATGGAATCTTTTAAGGCCATACAGTAGAATCACTAAATAATGCAATACTTTGAAGATATTTTGCATACTATATTAGAATATCAATAGGAATATAATTTGGGGATGTCCCAGGATTTTACCAAAAAAAAGTTTTTTCAGCAATACCCTATGACAAAATAATACTTTTTTTAGAAAAACATCTACTTTGTTTAGAGGCCAATGTTACATGATGGTTTTATTTTATTATGCAAAATACTAATATTGGAACACTTTAAATTAGACAATTAATTAAAGAATTTCATTTGTAGAGCCATAAATAAAGGGAATAAAAAATTATTTGTGAATTGTTTCCAAAACATAATATAATAACTTTTTTTCCCAAAAAAGCCCTTTTAAAGGGATCCCTAAGTGCTCCTAACATATGATCTCATATGAAAGAGCATAAAAAAAAAAATGTAAGTTTTTGTTCTTTTTCACTAAATTGTAATAATAAATGCATGCTAACAAATAGCAATTGCCGAAATCACTGAAAAACAACTCCATTTTGATTTTATTTTTTTTACCATTGAAACTCGATTGTTAGTCGTTAAAAATCACGTTAGTATGCCACAACAACTTTAGAATATCTACTTCGATTTTCAAGTAAAAAAAAGTCATGATTAAATAGTTAAATTTTAATCAAGTTTTTTAAATTAGTTTTGCAAAAAAAAAATAGAATTCGGTTGAAAGACATTGTTAAAAAAAAGTTATTAAGTAATAGTTTTAAATAGTTCAGAACTTATTAAAAAGTCTTAGAGCGGTCGTATTAAGCGCATCGCGATCACGATTGCTTTTCACACTTTCGCGATTAGCTTTTTCTTAAAAAAAATCTTTTTGCAATTTTTTTTTTTGGTTATTTAATTTTGGTTAATTACTTTACAAATAATTGGTTAAAAAAAAAAATGGTTAATTACTTTTTTTCTAGCTTGGCATTTTTTTTAGCAATTCTTACAAGTAATGTTTTTATCATAAAGAATGTCACACAAAATTTATTGTTCTGAATAGATAGATGAATAGATGATTTGCTCTTTTGCGCGGAGATTTTCTTTCAACGTAAAACATTTTTGAATTTAAATTACTTTAAATATCTGCATGGAAAATTTAAAAGGTCGTTAAAGCGAAAAGTTGAAAAGGAAAAAGACGTTAATTCGAATTTTTTCTTCATTCTAACAAAACAGCCTGGTTTTTATCTTTGTTTATCAAAACTTCATGTTTAAAATAAGGCTTCAACGTTAGAACAAAAAAATTGCTGACTTTTATTTGCATTTTTATACTGTTTGAAAAAAAAACTAATAAAAAAGAATTAACTATTATTATTATTAATTCTAATAATTATTAATTAATATATTATTAGTTAATTCTTTTTTATTAGTTTTTTTTTTCAAACAGTATAAAAATGCTAATAAAAACCAGCAATTTTCTTACTTTAACGTTTTTAAGCCTTATTTTAAACATGAATCGATTTATTAAACCAAATTTTTTTGTTTCACTTTTTATTGGAAAACAATTGAAATAGAAAAATTGAATAAAAGCATCAACTTAAAAACCATTCAAATAAAAATTTTTATTATATTTAAATTTTTAAATTAATTTAAACTTTTTAGTCTTTTATTCAAGAAACAATAAATTATAAAAAACGTGGTATCTAATTTTTTATTAAGTTTTTGATGATGTTTTTTGATTTATTGACAATAACTTTTTAATTTATTAATTAAAACAATTTCATTTATTTGCTTCGTTTTATTTTAAACGCATTTTATATTATTAAATTGTATAAAACAGCAACAAAACAGCGTCACAAAGTTGTTTTACATTAGCTATTTATATTTTAAAGACTTTTTATTTTATTGTTGTTTTACAGCTTTTTACAATAACAATTAAAACTCATTAAAAACACGTGTTTTATCGTCAGCATGATTGTATTAAACAGTTTTTTATGACTAATTAAAGTGGTTTAAATATTGCAGTGACGGATCCAAGAATTTTTAGTGGAGGGGGATGTTAAAATATTTTTGAATTTTGTACCATGTTTAAGCTGTAAATTATAACAGTAACTTACACTATTTTTAAACTCCGCTAAACAAGAAAATCATAAGATAACATTTAAATATGAGAGATAGTATGTTAAAAGATAACAATTACGTGCTAAAGAGGCAATTTTATACTAACGCAACCCCCTCCCTTCATTACCGCCTAAGAGAGAGGGGGGGGGGGAGGAGCAAAAAAACATATTTTTTCGCAATTAGATTTTTTTTGCGTTAATTCGAGCCCTGTCTTAATTTCTAATAAAATGTCTATTCAACCTTATCAATTTGAAACAAAAAAATATAGCAAAATTAAAATAAATATTAATTTAACTAAAACATTTTTTATTAATAATTTTTTTTTATCAAGTGAAAATGAGAATAACCGCCACTTTTGAAACCATAAAAATGACTGAAATAAATTTATTTTTGTACTAAGGAAATATTTTAAATAAACTTTCATGCGTCTACATCAATATTCATTTGTTATAACTACGCTGAGAAATATTTTAAATAAACTTTCATGCATCTACATCAATATTCATCTGCGGTGCTCTGTGATAAGACCGTAAGGACTTCTTGGCAGGCCTTGCGATAAAGCGTTGGGCGATGTGAATTTTACGTCGTCCAAGAGCGATTTTGCGTGTAGCTAGGGCTATTTGCATTGAGCAAAAAATTTTTTGTTTGAGTATATTTAAAGATCTTTTTGAGCGGAATTTTAATGAAGTAATTTACGATTCTTTTAACATTTAATAAAGTATTTTGATATAAAAGTTGATATAAAAGTTTGAATTGAAAAAAATTAAATATGCTCATTATTTACAAGCAGAAAAAATTCAGATTAATACAAAGTTTAAATCTTTTAAGCTAACATTTTAATAAAATTATTCAGCAATAGCAAAGTTGTCGATAAAATTGAACAAAAATACTTTCTTTTAGTTTTAGATTTTAAACTTAAATAATTATTTTACGGGGGTTTTTAAAAATTTTAAAAATTGGTGAGCGTAAATAAAAAAAAAAAAAAAAGGATTAATATTAAAACGTATTCTACTTGATTCAATAAAAAAGTACAGTTATTAAAATTTTTGTAAAAAGTAACTCAAAAAAATTATTTAAATAATAACGATCGCTTTTAAGTTAAAAGTTACCAAAACTCAACGAAGTGTGCTTAAGAACAGCTGCTGAAAAATAGAACGTCAATAGTTTTTCGAATAATTTTTTAGAATAATTTTTTCGCTGAAATATTTCTTTTATACCTATAAGATTTTTATTCTAACATTTTATTTTATTTTACTAGAAATAAAATTCCTTGTTAACATTAAAAATCTATTCAAAACGTTTGTTTAAGTTTTTTATTAATACAAGTGATTGTGCTTATTAACCGCCTTATGAAAATAAATAAAAATAAATAAATATTATATAAAAGCTGGTAAAAATATTAGCTATTGCACAGTTTTTAATCGTACAATATTAAAATTTCCAGTTTATTACTCGCTGACTTTTTAAAAAAAAAAAACAATTATTTGAAAAACTTTAAATTACATATTCGAAAAAAAAAAAAAAATCAAATATTAGCATATTTTATAATCTTTTTTAAATTTTAGTTATAATGTTTTTTATTCATTAAGTATAGACAAAACGTGTCAAACGTCGAGAAAATAAGCAAATGTTTTTAAATTTTAAAAAACGAAACATTCCAAAACATTTTAAAATAATAACATTTCTACATTAATGATTTAAAGTAGTTTTGCGGTAATTAAGTAAATTGGTGCAGTTAATGTCGAAAAATATGAAAAGCAAATGAAAAGAATTTCATGACGTCAAAAATCATGTTGTGCTTATGCGTCACGCAGTTTTTATTCATCACAAGGCCTGTCTTGGGGCACCTAAAATCAACATAAAAAAAAATTTGTTAAAAACTGACTAAAAAGAGTTTAAAACCTGGCTTCTATTCATTTTTGGCTGTGGAATTGCCCTTATAACACAAATATATAAATAAAAATTATAAAAAAATTTCAATATACAAATATATTTTTACAAAATGCTACAAAACTTATTTTTGTAAGTAATTATGTGTTAGATGAAAACGACATAACTTTTAAATTTAATTAACCAACTAATACGTTTGCAATAATGACATTTTGTCTACTTTGTTTTATTTGACATACAAACGTTAGTTTTTTGAGGCAATAGAGTCAATAAACTTTGGACAAGACGCATTTTTTTTAACCGAAGAAAAAGGTTTTTTTGAAAATTAAATTTGTTAGTGTGTGTTCATTATTACGTTTTAGAAAAAATAATATACATCAAACATTTTTTTTTAAATGATCTTTCATATGAGATCATATCTTTATAGCACTTAGGGATCCCTTTAAGATAAATGAATTAAGGCCCATGTAGTATTCCTGAATAGCATCTATGTCCAACCCAAATGCTAGAAACTTTTTTACTTTAAAAAAAAAAATAGAGGTGCTTGTTACATTCTATACTAAAGACAGTAACACAATAAGGTTTAAATATAACCTGATATCCAATTGGTGGGAAAAGACCTGCTAGTTCTGTTTCTGCACTTTGTAAACATCTTGATTCATCTGAGCTTCGGATATAAACCTAAATAAAGTTGAAATTTTATAGAAAAAAGCATAAGTAAACAGTAAAAATATTTATGACTATGTTGAAAACACTTTGACACACTTAATGTTTTTTCAACCTACATCAGTGCTTTGTAATTCATTCTCTTTGTCTTTTTTTTTCATATAATGCAGCTTTTTATCTTTTTTTTCTGTTAATCATTTTCTTGCACTTTATTTTCTTCCTAATTTTTCTAGTAACTCAAAACTTAGAAAGATGCCAAGTTTAAATAAAAGCAGGGTTGGTCCTTATGGACATCAGAAGTCTTCCCAATCATTGTGCTTAAATATCTAGTTATGTTTTCAACTTTACCATGCTACCTATTTCTCATTATCTTTAAAAGCAAGAAACATATTTAGTGTCAACTCATAATAATTTTGCCTCTATAATTTACCTGACAGCTTTTTCCTCTATTTCACTTGAATACTCTCACTGTTGCAGAAACATAAACAACTTTGTCTAAATAACTTCCATTAACATTTCAATGCTTGCTTAAATGGATTTCTCAAGATCAATAGTTTTAGATTGTTAATTAATATAAACAGTATAAACTATAATAATTAATATAATCAGCATTAATTTAATTCTAATTAGAAATAAAGATAATGAGAAAAAGGTAGAATTAGCTGTTACAGAAAGTTAGGTGTAATTTCAACATACTGATTGAATCTTCTACTTTATATTTTCTCTCATTATACTTTGCTACTATTCTCTACTAAAAACTATACATTGAATTGGAAATGACCTCTCAATATTTTACTTATCACCTTCTCACTCCTGATGCAACTCTCTACCACTTCAAATCATTATTTGCTCTTGTATGGAACACTGTTATCATGTGCTGGACTGAGTCTACTAATAATATTCTCTCACTTTTAGATAATGTGCAAAAATGCATTGTAAACATGTTTTTACTTTAACAACTAAACTTAAACTTCAATCTTTTTTAGAAATATTACCATGGTTGCCGCTCAAACAAGGTATCATCTTTTGTTCCATTTAAAAAAATTATTTTTTCAACAACTCATTGTTCTATAAAGTTAAATATTGTTACAGTCATTGTCCTTTGTAATCTTTTTTAACTTTTTTTTTGTATTTGAGATTTGTATATATAAATCAAAGAGAACATTTATTATTTCTCTTCCTTTCCCATCTAGTTACATGATCTACACCTGTAAAAAAAACGAGATAAAACACAAAATAGGTATAACAACAATAAAATTATCAGACTCATAGGAAATATTATTGAATATTTTTGTGTTAATTTTTCTAAAATAAATTATTACCTCTTTTGGTACATAGCTTTCATTAATAAAACCAGATTCAACTATATAACGCTTTTTTAAAAACTCTCCTAATCTGTATGTCATGTTCATTCCTATCTGTTAAGAAAAATAAAACAAAAAATTAATATTATTAAATAAAGAACTAAACAAATATGATAATAGTCATATGGTTTTTGTTATATGTTTTTACAAAAGTTGATTTGGCAAAAAAATTGAGATTTTTTTTGTTCCAAGCAGAACTGTAGGACATTAAAATTCAAAATATATAAGTACTTCATCAAAATCAATGGAATAAATAACAAACCAACAACAGCAGCTAATCAGTCTTATCTCAATATAGCAAAGTGCAACACTTATGTAAACTTTGCAGCAACGGAAATAAAAACTAGAAAAAAGAGGGAATCAAATATAGTAGTCGTTGGTCTTAAAGAGTCTAAAAATAGAAGCGATGAAAATCTTGTAAAAGAGTTTTTTGACGCAATTGAAGTAAACCATAAGAAAATTGTTCACGTTCGTTGTTACAAAACTTCCACAAAGAAGAAGCGTTCAGAGGAGTATATACTCAAGAGGACCGAACAGCTGCAGAGCAAGGGGCTTTCAATAAACTATACGATGAAAAGAAGCGAAAGAATGAAGATCTTATGAAAGCTAGTCTGAACGAACCTTTTCAATGGATCATCCACAGACGGACTGGATCTGTGCGCTGCATTGATTAGCAATGAGCAATCAGATCAAATCAAAACAGCAAAAACCAGTGTCAATAAAAACAATCCTTAACTTTTTTCCACAACCTTTGTCTTTTCCACTAACTAAGTTACCACTACGCCGACCAAGACCATAGTTGGTTGCCTGTAAATCAGCCACGCTTAAACCAACTAAATCATCTGAAATCAAACAAAATTAAAAAAATATATAGCAATCTGCATAAACAACTTTCTATTTTCGGGGCAAATAATCCTCGTTCACTAAATGAAGCCAAAAAAGATGAACTAGTTGCAAGAATTGATAATGAGATAGTAGAAAAGAAACCTCAATTGCTTTTCTTCACTGAGACCTGGTTTGATCAAATGTGAGACACTCAACTGTTTGGTTACCAACTTCATAACAAAAACCAAGGAAGCAGAGGAGGGGGTGTAGCAATCTACATAAAATGTGGTATCCCAGCCAAACTTGACAGATATTGAACTATGGAGAGTGATAACGATAAGCGATGAATCTTAATAGGCTGCATATACCGACCAAACGATAATGATATCAGGCTTGGACAGGAATGGCATGCGACCGCACTCTGTAACTGACCACGCTAATATTGTTTTTTCTTTACAACTTGACCACAGCTATTTTGATGTTTTAACAATTTAAATGCAATAAAAAAAGTGTTACTTATTGAATAACTTTTAATCGTTGATCTTTTCTAAAGTTTTTATTTTACGCGAAGGCCTTAAATAAAACCATAAAATTAATAATAATGATTGTTGACATAAACGCATGTGTTAATTTATAAAAAATGTGATATAAAAATCTTAATATTAATAATAAAAAATCTTTTAAACAAACTTATTCTTTGAAAGTTTTTTTTTTTTTTAATTACGAAAGGAATGAATGAGTTTTAATCTTTAATAATAACTTTAAAATTTATTACGTGAAGTGCTTATTAATAAAGTTGTAATTAAAATGAAATTGCTTGTTGACAGTTTATTTTAATTAAATCGCTGGCACATTTTTTTCTCTCCCTATTTTAGCGAATAAAAAAGTTAAAACCTTTTTTTAATCTTAACTCACTAATTAGAACATGAAATTATTAAAAACTACTATTTAAAAAAAGACTATGATATTTTTTTAAACAGTTTTTTTTTTGTTGCAACTTTTTTGAAAAAATAAAAGTTGATTTTATCTAAAAATATTATATACAACACTTTTTAATAAATTTGATAAAATTTGATCATTTATTAAACAATCATTAGAAGTAATTTGTTACTTAATTTAAAAGCGATTTAAAAGCTTTAATAAAACGTTTAAAAAAATAAGTTTTAACATTTATTTCAAACGTAATTAAATACGTAACAAAAAGCTTTGAGTTTAATTTTTTATTTTTACTTTTGTGCTTATATAATTTCTTTTTTGTAATAATTTTTTTTTCCTTTCTTTTTTTGTTAGGAGTTTTTTTTGTTTTGTTTTATTTTTTAACTTTTTTTTTTTCAAAGTTTAGTTTCGCGTTTCTATATTCAGCACATATCTGGAATGTTTGTCATATAAACAATAGTGGTCAAGATGTCTAAAAATAAAATTATTTGCGCGGTCAACAATAGCGCTCAATTGCACGCCGTTCCTGTCCAAGCCAGTGATATTCTAGAAAATGTCATCAAATCAATCGATTCAGCAAAGCAGAACTTGTCAATACTAGGCTGTTCGTCTGTCCTAAATTACGGTGATTTAAACTTCAGCCACACAACATATGACGTATTTGAAACTGATGGAAGGGCAGCAACAGTTGCACATATACAAAACAAACATGCAACGGACACGAAATTCCAGCAATGTCTAAACGAAAACTTTCTTATGCAAATGGTCACTTTCCACACTCACGGCAGAAATAGAAAAGAAAGACCATCAAGCACACTAGATTTATTAATCACTGATGAACCTGACCGCATAGATAATCTACATAAAGGCAACTCATTTGGTTGCACACCAGCTGGGGAAGCCCATTTACTACTTATTGGCTCATTTGCTATAAACAACGCTTGTGTTAAAAAAGAACAAAAAAGATTTATCTGGAGCAAGGCTAATTATGAAGCAATCTCAACGCTAAACACATCATATGACTGGGTGACAAATTTCAATTCCCATTCAGTAAATGACAATTATCAGATGTTCGTTGAAAAAATTAACAAGGCAGTCACCCTTTACATACCTTCAACTAAAACATTGTTCAAGCAACAAAAACAACCATGGAATACACCCGGAAGTTGAAAAAGCAGTTAAAAAGAAAAGAACCCTTTGGCGCAAATATCTTGCAGCTGGTAGATTGACTCACATAGAGATTTGAGAAGAGCAAAAGGCAGCTTGCAAAGAGTAGGTAAGATTGTAAGATCACAGGCTTGGTCGGGAAGCGGGAGCGATCGCTCTCGATTGCTGACCACGTAAATAATATTTAGTTGCGAAAAGCTGGCCAGATTTTTTAGCCATTTTAAAATTTTTAAATTTTAAATTTAAAAAAAAAAAAAAACATTTTAAAAAGCAAAAAAAAAGCGATTAAGATTAATTGGAGCAATGAGACAATTACAAAAAAAAAAAAAAAAATAAGCAAATAAAATATCTTTAAACGCGAAAAAACTCAAAGCTAAAAGAATTACATTTAGAACAAATATTTTTGAAACATCGCTGTTTTACAATTTTTTTTATAAAATTAAGCGATGTTTTTTATATAAATTAACAACTTACGATTGTTTAAAAGGGAAACAAATATTCTTTATTTAACTAAGTTTGCAAGTTTTAGTTTTACTTAAGCTAAATTATTTTATAAATAAAAAAATTAATTTTTTTAATACCTATTTTATGTTTCGCGTAGTTTGAAAAGCTTAACATATTTGAAGCGATTCTTCTTAGTAAGATAAACAAAAATAAAATTACTTTAAAATACTTAAAAATACTTAACGAACAGGAAGCGAAACTGCTTCACAATAACGCTAATGACGTTTAGTGAGTGGGCTTTTTAATTTTAATTAGTATTTAAAGCAGAAAAAAGTGTAACGAGTTTCAAGAATGGCAACTTAAGCAAAAATAATAAGAGTTAGTAAACCAATATCTAGAAACTTTTCTTCATATCTAATTATTTGTTATATATATTTGTGTTCTGTCGTGACCTCAGGCGTAATGCTTGTTCATCCGCGAGTTACGTTGTATGCGTTGTTTGTGTTTAGTAACCAGAAACTTCTTATATGTTTGTTACATAAATAGTTTTATTAACTTTAACGATTATAACTTCATTGAAAGCCAACTATTTTTGTAAGTCTATGTTTAAATCATGAAAATTGCTTTAAAAGATACATTACGATAAAAAACAAATACACAAAATTACATTTACATAAAGAATACAATCTCTTTAAAAATAAAAAATAAGAATATACTAATAAAATCTATGATTTATAATAAACCTTTAAAATTTTAACAATATAATTAATATATATATATATATATATATATATATATATATATATATATATATATATATATATATATATATATATATATATATATAAAACATTTATTTTCGTAAACAAATAATATGTATTCTTAAAACAATGCCAGAAATCTCAAAACGTAACAAGTCGTGAATAATACAATTTCTAAAACATTTTCTAGAAATTTATTTCACTTAATCAGCGTATTTTTTGAACCAATAGAATTAGTTTTTCGTTAATTTGGCGGGTTTTTAGAGTTCGCAAACATTCTTTTTATTCTTTCGCACAAAGATGTTTTGAGAACATTCAAGTTTTTTATGTTTCCATGTATGTCCATAAAACAAAAATTTTTTGTTTCGTACATAAACCTAAATGTTCTCAAAACGACTAAAAAACCTGGTCAGTTTTACGCAACTAAATATAATTTCTGTGGTCAGTATTCGAGAGCGATCGCTCCCGCTTCCCGACCAAGCCTGAGATCAGCAGTTAAGTATGAAAATGAAGTTGCAAACTCTTTTAAAATTGATCCAAAACAACTTCATAAACAAGTCAAGCAGAAGCAAATAGCAAATGAAATGGTAAAGTCACTAGAAGACAACAATGAAAATTTTACAACTGATAGTCATAAAATTTCTCATTTACTTAACATATACTGTCAGTCTGTATTTGTTGTTGAACTGTTACATCAGATGCCAACATTTCAGAACCGAACAGAAACAAAATGTATCATTTCTAAATACATCTACAGCAAAAATTTGAAGGAATGATTCCGCACCGCATGAATCATCGAGTACATTACCGTTTTTAAATATAGGAAGATCTAGATTATTGTGATAATGATTAGCTATAAAAAATTTATTTTTATCTGAGTTAATGTTCCCCAGTTACTGTGATCCTTTTCAAGCCCAAATG